GCATGACTAGGAGGGGGCAGAGAGAAAGGGAGACACAAAATCCGAAGCAGGCTCCAGGCTCTGAGCTGTCAGCCCAGAGCCTGATGTGGGGCTTGAACTCACAAGCCGTGAGATCATGACCCAAGCTGAAGTTGGACGCTTAACCGACTGAGCCACCCAGATGCCCCCTCAAACATTGCAATTTTTAAAAAAATGTTTATTATTTTGAGAGAGAAAACACATATGTGTGCAAACAGAGGAGGGGTAGAGAGAGAAAGAGGGAGAGAGAATCCCAAGCAGGCTCCACACTCTCAGCACAGAGCCTGACACAGGGCTAGAACTCACGAACCGTGAGATCATGAGGTCATGATCTGAAATCAAGGGACGCTTAAGTGACTGAGCCACTCAGGTGCCCTGACATCGCAGTTTTTAAAAAGTGGCCTGGGAATGCCTCATAGAGAACATGACATTTGTGTCAAGAAATGAAGGAGGTGAGGGAGCGAGACATGCAGACCTCTAGGGAAAGGTCCAGGCAGGAACAGCACGTGCAAAGGTCCTGAGGTAGGTGTGCATCTGGACTGGCCAGAAGCCCAGTGGGTCTGGAGCGGAGGGAACAAGGGGAGAGTAGTAGGAGGTGGGGTTGGGGCCTGCAGGTTGCTGTATGTATGATCTTTGGCTTGTGTTCTGAGGGAGATGGGGACTCCGTCAGAGGAAGGATGAGACGTGAGTGGCCTTGTGTCCAGCATGATGGAAGCGGTGGCTGGAGAAGGCCCTCTGTCCACAGCGGGCCGGGAGAAGGGCGGCAATACAGACTGCTGAGTGAGATGGGGTGCGGTGGGCTACAGCAGGAGAGATACGCTTCGAGGCCTCCTGTGGCCCAGACGAGGCCCAGAGACCTGGGTTCCACTGGCTCTGTGGCTGTGCCGCTAGATCCTTCCATGCCTTTTGTGCTCAGCGATCAACTGGGAATAACTATCCTAGCGCCGGCGTGAGGAGCAAAGGAACTGAGCCACCTACGGTAGGTGCCCCAGAGACAGGGAGGGGGGCAGCAGGGAAGGCTTTGTGGCGGAGGGGACCCTTCCTTGAGCTGAGCCTTGACGTCCAAACGGCATGAAGCTTGGCCAGAGGAACCTGGGTGACAACGGGGAGGATGGGGGAGAGCACGCAGGAGGAGGTGCATACAGCGAGAGGACTCGCCGGGAGGCTGGCGAGCGGGAGCCCCGAAAATAACGGGTGTTGAAGGGGCTCAGCCGACAGTCTCCGGGGAGTGGGGAGGCTGGGACGGCCCCTCCCTTCCACGGGGCGTGGAGGGTTTGTTGTCGCCCCCACCCCCGCTAGAGCAGCTGGCCGGGGCCGGGGGCTGTCCCTTCCGCGGTGCCTGTGTCGTTTCCAGCCGCCTCGGGGGCTCCCCAGGGCGGGCCCCGCCCCTCGGGCTGAGCTGGAGGCAGGGGCGGGGCCTGGCCCGAGCGCCGGGGCGGGAGCGCGGCGGGAGCAGGTGGAGTGGCCGCGGCGGCGCGGCGCTGCCATGGCTCCGCGTCCCGGCCCAGAGCACCAGCCCCCACCTCGGCCCTCCTCGCCTGCCCCTGGGGCCCACCAGACTTTGGCCTTTGCCGGCGCCCCAGCCTAACCAGCCTCCCCTCGCTGTCCGGTTTGGGATTTGGGGGCTGAGCCGTCTGGGGTCCCGGGGCCAATGCAGTGCCGCCTCCTCCGGGGCCTGGCGGGAGCCTTCCTCACCCTTCTGTGCACGGGGCTCCTCTCCCTGCGGTACCACTCGAGCCTGTCCCCCGACGGCGCGCGGGAGGCTCCCGCGCTGGGCCCGCCAAGCCCTCTGTCCCCTGAGCTGCAGTTGCGCGATGTCTTCATCACGGTCAAGACGACCCGAGCCTTCCACCACTCGCGCCTGGAGCTGCTGCTGGACACGTGGGTCTCCAGGACCAGGGAACAGGTGACAAGTGGGCAACTGTAGGCCCCCAGAGTGGCCCCTGACCTGAGGGACTCGTGGAAGCCTTTCCATTGGGCTGGGGTCCCTGGCAGCCTCCAGGGAGAAGCTGCCTGCCCACCTGCCCTGTCTGGACTCCACTCCCGGCTCCTCCTTCCTCCCAGGATCAAGGGCTCCTGCGGCCCCTGCCTGTGCCCCTCACTGGCTCTGGAACCAGGTGGTCCTCATGCCCACTCCTCAGTCCCTCCTGGGGCGGGGGCGGGGGGGTGTCCCTCTGTTCCCTGGCTGTTCTCCAACAGGCTTTCCTCCTGCCCACCTTGGCCCAGACCCGCGATGGGGACAATGCGGGGG